ATTTTTCCTAAAATAAAACCACATTACTATAGATAAAATCAACACAGTATTTCGTAGCCCTGATGTCGGTAATGTATTTCTCAGATTTTTTCCAAATATAGTCAAATAATAGCAATGTATTTCTCAGGTGGCATCTAGATACGACCCAAACACTAACAATCCATTTACAGATAATATATCGCACCAGTAATATATTTCTCATACAATATATTTTCAGGTACCCAAACAACCCCTAAATCTCTTTCAAAACCATGTGTTTGAAAAAAATTGTATAAAAAAATAATATTTCATAAAAACTTTCCCCTCTCTCTATCTCCTTTGAGATGTACTGTGGATGCTCTCTCTTTATCTCGTCCTAAAGTTATATACTTCAGTTTTATCTTCCTTATTGTTCTATCCATGTAAGTCTCTCTCTTAGTTTAGGAGTTCGTGTCTCTATCTCTCTCCTAGGCATCTTTTTGTCTTTCTCAATATTTTTAGAATCCACTTGACTCTCTCTCTCAAAGATATCTCTTACATGGTATCTTTTGAAATTTTAAGATCACGCTATTCAATAGTAACTTTTTTGAGTGTTGATATCTCCTTGAAATGCTCTCTCAGGATTTTAAAAGATTTTAAGAAAATAAACTCTTTCTATCTCCCCATAACCCCTTCCCCCTCTCTCTCCCCATGTAGTTTAGGGCACGCGCTCTCTTCTCTCTCTTCTCTATACGTTAAACTTTTGGGGCACATTATTTTTAGGGGTTTACTACATCATGTTGGAAAATCTTGTACCCCACAATATTTCTTCATGGAAAAAATTTGTATAGAGCCGAGCTCCTAAACAATTAAAATCAAGCTTATCTATAAAGTTTCACTAGAAGAGATTGTTTTAATGCCCAAATATATTCAAATTGATCATCTTGACATCAAGATGTATGGACATGAGAAAAAAATAGATTTCAAGTTTTGGAAATAGTGTAATTTGTAATAAAAACAAAATTCAAAACTTGAAGCAATACATGAATATCCACCACTGGTTTTTGCACTTATCTTGGTTCCAACTGTATATCTTGGAGTGCTAAGAAACAATTGACAATAACTCGTTCTAGTGCTGAAGCAGAATATTGATATATAGCATCTATTGCTGCATAATTGACATGGGTTTCTTTTATTCTTCAATATATTGGATTGCCTCTTCCTCAACCACCAACATTTTTTTGTGACAATATTAGTACTCTCTACATGACAATTAATCATGTTTTTCATGCACGAACAAAGCATATTGAGTTAGACTATCATTTTGTACATGAAAACGTTGCTCTTGGTTTACTTGTCAATAGTTTTGTTTCCTCTCGTGATCAAGTAGCTCCACCAAGCTTTTTCCAAGATATGTTTTTCGAAATTTTTGCTTCGAACTCGGGCTTCAGATGTCTCCCTAGCCGAGTTTGAGGGGAGTAAAAACAAATTCAAAACTTATAACAAGATAGAAAAGTATATATTGCTCTTTCTTTTTGAGAGAAGAATATAACAAGATAAAAAACTGTACATTACATGTCGCAAGATAGGAAAGTGGATATTCCAAGTAGATTATCATTATTATATATATATATATATAATGAAAGCACCAGCACAAGAAATTGTGTCGGGCACAATTCGTTTCTCGCAGAGTTCCTCTCTCTCTAAAGTTTTCTATATTTTGTGATGCATTTTTGGGTTGTCAATTTTCAAGATTTTCATAGATCTATCGATCTACACTATTTTTAAAGCTTAAACTTTATAAATAAAAATAAAAATATAATTTAAAACTATCCCAATGTCAGTGTTGAAACCACATTTCTCGACACTATTTGAAGGCAAACTCTAAGTTGATTGTTTAGAGCCTAGGCTCAATACAAACGTCACCCTTTCTTTATACATGGTTCTTTCTTATTCTTCCATACATGTCTATCTTTTAATTATGACTCAATAATATAGTATATAGATAAAATAAATTTATTTTATTGTATAAAATTGTCGTTGCCATATAATCAATCAATCATAGCCCATCATTCTATAAAAAAAAATATTTGGTAATTTATCCACTTATGCGTCCTCCGGCTTTCAAGGGACATAAGACCCCAAGCACGTCTTGATTCATGTAAATCCATTCCCGCCTAAGATCCATGCGTTTGGAGCTTCGAAAATGATGCAAATTTAATGTTCTCACAACAATTAAAATAAAGGTGTGGTTTGTATAAGGTTGAGGTCTTAAATAATCAAAGTAAGGCGCGTTTTTAAATAGTGTGGTAAGATGTGTTTCAGCACAAAAGTCTTTATTATGGATTGAAAATTTATTTTCATATTTAATTATGAAATTTTTAGCTTAAGAAATAGTGCATATTAAGCAGATATATGAAAACTTGAAAATGTTGAAACAATTGACGGTCTAAATAATGCATTATAAGATGTACTATTTTCAAGATTTGAAATCCATTTTTTTTATATCTATGTATCTCAAGGTCAAGATGATCGGATTTAAAGGTTTTTCAACATAAAAAATACTTCTTCTATTTATTTTTTGAGGTGTGCCTTAATTTGATTGTTTGTAGCCGCAACTTTATATAAGTTTTTTCCTTAATGTAATCAATAGGAAATTGATATTGAAACGCCTGAAAACCATGTAGAAAGCAATGTAACTCTTGAATCCGAGTGAGATTTATATCGATGCTAACAGGTTTCGAGTTGACTCCGCCGGGCCAATAGGTTCCAAGTTAACTCAGCCGGGACGGAGTCGTTAGATATCAAAACATAGACCAACAACTTTAATGGCAGTCCTTTGAAAATCCAGAAACGACGGGTTTTTGGGAGGGCTTATAAGGAATTATCGTGAGAAGAGATCCTATTGTCTTGTACATGAAGTAATACAATAATCAATGAAAAGATAAAGATCTATTGGAAGGCATTAAATTGCTTTCAAATTTGATGAAAGAAAGGTTATTGAAAGCTAAAGGTCTATTGGAAAACATTAAATTGCTTTCAAATTTTGATGGAAGAAATGTTATTGGAGGGGATTCAACCAGCAATATTAAAAGATAAGGGAGAGTTCTTTGGAAACTATTTTCTATTTTTTGTAAAATTAGTGACAAAAAAAAACAAAAAAACCATGGACCAACCAAATATGCTTAAAAAGCCCAAGCCAATGGCATGGGAGGTAATGCCCTTGGCAGACCAAGCGTTAGCCCTCCTGAACTTGGGGCATGAGAGCATTTAAAGAGCTCGTCCTCGACAGATGGGCCCTCAGCCCTGAGCCTCATTCTATCATTTTCATTCATTATGTGTGAGAAAGTGGGATATCACCATTGACAGGACAGTGCAGAGAGATGCACGTACACAGAAGCATCAACCATAAAAACTCACATGCAAGTGAAGCCAAACATATTCTACTCCCGCGGGAGTAGAATTTCTATTTACTCTATCGGGTAAAATCCTACTTAAAAATAATTTTAGGACACAAAACAGTTTTGGATATGTAACCCTCTTCAACTCATAGATTAACCCAGATAAAATAAATACTTAATTGTACCCTATATGTGCTTGATAAAAGAAAATAATAATGTCTCAAGATTGAATAGAGGTCATCCAATTTTTAGATGATGAGATCCAAGTATTTGAAAACTATATATATATATATATTTTTAAAATAATCATCTACTAATTTTTAAATGGTTTTCAAAATTTCAGATTGAAAGGATCCACCTAAATAGATCTTTCGACCAAAAGAGAAGAAATATATTATGCTTCCATGGAAGCATAGCATATGTACTGGCAAGTGAAATGCAATTCTCTTTGACCAAGTTGTTATTGGAAATAATGTTAGCAGGAATTTAACCAGTCACTTGTCTTTATTAAATTCTCTTTTTACAGTTTGCTTTGGGTTTATAGATTCAAGGTACACATGTTTTTTATTTTATTTTATTTTATATTTTTTGGTAGATTAGTGGGAAATGCAACCCCTGCCCATTTTAGAAACGATATTTTCGAATGCATAAGTGAGAATGAAAACTTAAACCGATATCTAAAGTTCCGGTAGTGCTACCACTACAACTTCAACCATATTCCCTAGAATAGACACGTAAAGTTAGAAAGATGATATATTTCAAGTGTTGTATGCAGGCGGGGATGCATTCCTACATTGGCTCGAGAGTGCATTTTTATATTTGAGTAAAGCATCCATTTTAAGAAGGGATGCAATTGGGTGGTCCGTTAATAAAAAGTTAAAACCAATGAATGATCTAGATGTTTTTTTATAAAATTATTATTTTTAGTATTTTAATTTTTTTTTATATATTTATGGTCCCATGTTAAAGATTTTATATTTCCCTACAAATTAATCCAAAATCCATCTCAAAAAATGTTTTTTAAGAGGGGACCCCTAAGAGTACTAGGAATAATGAAAACAGTGTGTTTTAAAATTTTTCCGGTCCAGATAAAAAATCACCAATCCCAATAGGTAATCAGTCTTGTCGAGACCTGATTCCTTGTCGAAAACCAGAAATAATTATAACTAGAATTGATTTTATCAGGGAATCAAATGAGTTTCTGAGGGACCTAGGCAAACTGGATCAGAAAAATCGCTTTGTTCCCACCCACTGTATTTTAGTGTTATTTTTCTTTTTAATTTTTTTATGGATTATTTCTCAAACTGAAAAACCGATCCAATTTGCTAATCTAGACCATATTTCCAAAAAACTGATTCAATTTTTAAAACAGCCAAAATTAAGACTCTTATAATTACCGGCATTGTTAAAAACTCTATCCACTACTCATCAGAGGCAGAAAACCTACTTGGTAGGATTTTTTGAATCTAAAATTGCAAACTATCAAAGAATCATCAATGATTAATTTCCAAAGAGAAAATTTGAATATTAAGTTTTTAAATACTTGGATCTTACAGTCTGGGTTCAGTCTTGAGACATTATTTCTTCTGGTGCATAGAGAGTTCAATTTTAAGATTTTATTTTTTGGAGTGAGTCTATGGGTTGATAACTGTTGAATCAACCAAAGTACCCATTGATCGAGTTTTATCGGAGTAAATAAATAAACGGTATGCTCCCTCAGGAGCATGAAATCCTCTGGCAAAAATAAATAAGGGTGAACAAAAATAAAAAAAAGCCAAATCTAAAACTCCAAAGGAAAACTATTCTTTCCTCTTGTCTCCTCTCCCAATATTGAATCAATAGATGTGGGGTTTTCTCTGTAATCGAAGAAGAACACGAACAAAAATGGACGTACATGGATCAGACCCTTTTCCCCTTCTGCTTCTTCTCTCTATCCTTTGGGCTCTTCTTCTCTCTATGGTGGCCTTTCCGGCCACCTGATTTCACCCAAGTATAATCGCTTGGTATAGCGAAAGGGTCACTGGAGATGGCTGGAATCCCTTTAACGGCACCAGAATACGGCGATTTTACCCACTGCAACCATGATTGTTTATTAGGGTTTCGACTTGGGGTCGATAACTCGTTGCTTTCTTGTTTCCATTCTTCGAATTTAGTGAAAGTTATCACAACTTTTATGGTTGGAACCACAGGAATAGAGACCTACAGAATATAATGAAAAAATGCCTGTGATTTTCAGTTCCCGGGTAAATAGTGGGCATTATTTGGCTTGCTGTTTTCATATAAAATTTATGATTTTAGAAAAAATTGCACAAAAAAATTTATAGTTTTAATGCTATTTTAAAACTGGAAAATGGTCAGCCCTATAAAAAATAAGTAAATCTTCACCCCATAACTCATTGAAAATTGAAAGTCTAGCGAAACCTTTATATCAATCAGATCGATTTGACCATCATGATTATGAATTTTTTTTTTTCAAATTCTAAAAATAGTATATATGGTTACAAATTATCTAGACAGTCCATTTCGTTATAAATATAACCGTTCACACAAGATCTATACTAATTTTTTAATTTCAATTTTGATCGTCTTTTGTTAAAAATTGATTTTAGAATCGTCTTAGAGATTTCCGTTGCCGAAAGAACTTTCCAAACTAGAATTTGAGATGAGGCTTTATTTTGTTTACATAAAAAAACCTAGGCCTTATAGAAACCTCATCCGAAAAAAATTTATTACAATGTTAAAAACCCATCAAATTGACCTGGGAGGTATAAACACAGAAGAAATAAAGATTTCCAGTCACATAAATGGTGCATCTTAACACTGTATTTGTAAAAATATAGATTTACTCCATTTGTATCATTTTTTAAGTTTCAGCGTTCATAATTAAGGATAACAATAGGCTTTAATACCATTGCAAAGCTTTCACCCGCGAAAACAAGATCTTTTAGTATAGTTTTGAGGTGCGCTTTACTTCAATATTATACTTTACACCTTATACAAACCTCCCCCAAAATATAAAGCTTCAACTTTAAAGGAAGAGGCAGCGCGAAAAATTAAAGCTAGTGCGAGTCCATCAAATTTATAAAATATTGAAAATGAACAACTTGCACGAATTTGAAATCCTTTTTTCATACCCATACATCTCCAAAATAGCATGTAAATCCGAAATTACGTTTTAAACCGTGCCTAAAAAGGAATTAATACCCACAATTGGCGTTTTATAAACTCGCTGAAAATGATAATTTTTGTTACCGATTCGCATTTTGGAAACTTCCTGAAAATCAGACGAAACGTCTGGAATTTCTTCCGAAATTTTCGAAATTTAAATATTTCAAGTTTTTGAAAACGCGCCAGACCACAGCACACTCGACTCCAACGTAAATTAGAAAAATATGGGGGTAATTTTGGGAAACCAAAAGAAAATATTAACGGTACCTTAACGGGAAAAGTTCCGTTGGGGAACTTGGTGGTGAGAAGCTCGCGCAATCTCCTCACGGCCTTGACCTTATCGGCCAGTATATCGAGTAACGGAAGTAGCTCCTCCGTCTCCAACGGGAACTCCTCCGTCAGCCAAATTACCGGCCTTAGCCCTCGCCGGAATTCGCTCTCCTTCTTGCCACCGTCTTCCTCCTCTATAGGGATGGAATCCAGCGACCTCCGACCAGCCGGAAAACCGCTTTCACTCGACTGGAATCCGCTTTCCTCCTCCATTAAACCACCCACCTTTCCTTCAACATAAACCGATCTCCTCTCTCCTGCACCCAAGAACCGCCCTTGATCACCAGAAAACCAATCTTCTTCGCCAGAAAACCACCCATCATCACCAGAATCCAAGCCTCCGCAGCCGGAAACTGCGGCATTTTTACCCAAAAAACCCACATTTTGGCCGGAAAAAGCACCGTTTGCATTGCCCGTGCGAAACCCGTCATCAAGACAGGAGGCCTCTTTGCCATAGCAGCTCCTCCTCTGGCTCCCATGGTTGGGATCCCCTTTAGCTTTCTTATCAATGTCGGCCATCTCCTTCATAAAGCTCTTCTCCTCCTCATTCAAATTATTCAATGGCGTCACATCAATCGGAGTTGGTGGCGGCGGTGCTCGCCTTGATTTGACGCTGAAGCTAACATTCCTCATCTCGTAGACCTTAGCCTTCCATGGCCCGACCATCTCTGCTCGAATCTGCCGCCGCCATGTGAGCAAAGGCACGAGCTCAGCCATCGTCACATCAACTCCAGGCCTGTAAATACTCGACCTAGCCATGGCTGCCACCTCTTTCTCCACCTCAGCCTCACTTGGCCGAGCTCCTGCTCCTTCCAGAGCATCAACCACCTTCTTATCTTTATGGGTCAGGACCAAAAGCGAACCAGAAGCCGACCCATTGCTTCCATGGCCAAAAAAGAGGAAGCTCTGATCAGCTCTCTGTATCCTGAACCCATCGAACCCGGCCAAGCTCATATCGGCCCTCAGGTCCGAACCCCTCTTCCAAATCCTGTATGTATCAGAAGGAGCAACGCGCCCAACAAAAGGAATCACAGAGCTCTCAAACCTGAAGTCGATCTCCATGTAAAAATCCCGCATTTTCCCCATAGCCAGTCTCAACCTAGGCAAACGCCTGCACCACTTGGTCCAAGCCAACGGATAGTAGTGTCTAACTATAATGGCGGAAATTTCAGGCTGGCGCCTGAAAATCGCCTCCTGCAACGCGTTCCATCCCTGCTCATTTTGTAGGCTCCAGTCGGCACCAGCAGCCATTAAGATTTCAGCCGAGGTCGGGTCGTCCAATCGCACCGCTAAATGGAGAGGAGAGTCACGATTGGGCACATCGCGTCGGTCTAGAACAGCGGATGTTTGGGCCGCTTTCTGTTCTTCGAGTTGGGCTTCAGTGTGGGTGAGGAGAGGGGGAGGGCCAGGAGGCGGAAAGAAGAGGCTGGGGAGGCCGGCGACAATGGCTCGGAGGGCAGTGTGGTCGCCGGCGAGGATGGCGCTGTGGGCGGGGCTGTGTGCGTATTTGGTGGGGTGGTGGTGGTGGTGGTGGTGGTGCAGGGGTGGGCGTGTCGTAGCGGGTCTCACCATTTTTGTGGGCTTCTGGTTTCTCTTTGGGCTTTGATGGGGACCTCTATTTATGTGAGAGTTTCCAATAAGGTGGAGGCCTGTTTTCTGCGCTTTCTTATTTCGAGGGAACTTGCATTAACCTTCCCCTCATGCTTCATTTCCTGCTGCATAATGGGGAAGAGAGAGAGAGAGAGGGGGAATCAACTAGTTTAGAGAGAGAGTGGAGATAGAGAGGGAAGCAATAGTTAGAGAGAGAGAGAGAGAGAGAGGGGGGAGAAAAAACGTAGATATCGCATTTATAGGGCGCAGCGCAGCGCAGGGTGTCAAGCCGAACGGAGGTTCAATTCATACGCTTCCAGAAAGTGATAACAGGCTTAAAAACAACCCTTATTTTGCTTTAAATATCCGGATTACCCCGTTCTGTTCCAATAATTTTTTTTTTCCTTTCTTTCTTTCTTTGCGGAAGTGAAGACCCCCCCGTGCGTCCTGTTCCATTGATATGATGCACATGCTCTATGCGGTATATACTGTGTACTAGTGTTTTGAAACTGATTTGGCTCAGCCAAACTGGGGAATCTGGATCAGCCAAACGAGCTGTTCAAACCAAAATTTTAAAATGCGAAAACAAAAGAGGGGAACAAGACGAAAATACATGCATGGATCCACATATAACATGTTTGTGTAATGATTTAGAGTTCAAACCATACAAAGATACATATCAAACATGGGTATTTGGGTTAAATAGATTGGATAAAGCCGACTACTGACTTTTGAAGGGAATTGGCCTGCTCACCCTCCAATCCAAATCTAGATAAGTTGATCAGTCATTTTCAACATGGATTGCAGATCACGGTTGCTTATTATATGGTAAATTTCAATTAAACCCATCATCCATTTCGAATAACAAATCGATTAAGAATTAATTGTACTTATAGAATTAATTCTCATTCGATTTGTTATTCGAAATTGATGATGGGTTTCGTTGAAATTTACTATATCATGCGATATCATTAGCAACCATGATCTGCAATCCATGCTGAAAACGTCGATCGTGACTCTCGTGGGCTTCAGCACGGGTCTTGCCTAAGTTGGGATAAGGTTCAGATGATCATAGTGATTATGAAGAAAGAGAAACTCATGCAATTCCAGGTTTCTTACCCAGAATCTCCAAACTCCCTATCGGAGGAGTCGTCGACTCCTCCAATCTATAAAACAATGGTTCGCAGACTAATGCCTGAAACCAAGAACTACACGGCAAAATCTATAATTTCATTCCTCTATAGTTGGGGGATGCGGCGCATGCAGTGTACGATACTCGAATATATTGACCTCTATCAGTGGGGGTGCATTATGGTTATTACATGGGAAAGTAGTGGCGTGATGGGAAATAGAAAAAATTAGGGAACAGGTTTGATAAAAGAAAGGAGAAGGTTTCTGGGGTTGGGAAAAGGGGGGGGGGGGGGATGTTTTTGGGGCTGGGGAGCAAAGAGAACATGGGGTTTGGAGGGTTATGTCCCCTCGTCAAACTGCATAAATCTTGGAAGAAAACCATCTTACTTCTTAATTTAACTACTCGCCTTGTCTTCCTCTTTCTCTCTCTAAAATGATGTCACTTCAGTTTACTGCATATGCTCTTTCTCTCTCTAAAATAATGTCACCTCAGTTTACTGCAGATGAATAAATGAGGTTTCTCCATCACAGGAGGGCCCTTAAAGTTTAGTACACCCGTGTCTTAAAACCTGGATCGGGTGAAGTGGATTGCCCACCCTATAGGTTCATGTGGATCGGTGCAAATAGATAATCCAGAAAATATTTAGAAAATAAAATAGGGTAGGGAACTTAAAAAAAAAACACGAGATAAGCTTACACAAAAAAATATTTTAAATGAAAGAGGGCTTTTTAGGGGACTGGACCCATATTGATATGTTTCTGAAATTGCTTCGGTCCTGAATCCGGACTGATCCTTAATCCCATTGTTATGGATTGTACGGTTTTAAAACACTGTATGCACATTTAATGAGGTCTCTCTAGCTCAAGGGGTCAAAAGTTGAGCTGTATATTATGCAGTTATAACCTAGATTTAGTAGCATCATATTTAATTTTTAAAGATTTGATCAAGTCGAAATCAGTTCAACTGCTAGTTGTTGGATTAGTTATATTCGATTTAAACTAGTCATCCATCAATGATAGTACCATAGATCTGATGTTCACTGTAGTCATAACTACAGATTAAAAAAACGGTTATATGACATAGATCTTCACCCATAAAAAAAAATCGATCCATCCATATCGGCGATCTGGCCAAGTGTACCAACCACTATAAAAAAAATTAAAAAAATAGAGAACAACAACAATTGAAAAAACTAAAAATATTAAAAGGTGAGGTAAGCTCTACCCGGTTTTCTAACAGAACGATATAAAACCGACATGTTCTGTCACAAAACTAATTAGTTCATAGAGGGAATGGACCGATTCTCGATATTTTTAATGAATCGAGTCGGTCCCTTTAATTCCCAATCTAAACCGATGTTCTAATCAGGATTACAATTTTTTTAAACCTGGTTATATGCACCGGAAATTTGAGAGAGAGAGAGCATGGAGCAACGGCATGAGAGGCTTAAAGGAGGCAAAAGGGTTAAAAGCAATGTAAAAATGGTCACTCTATTTTTAACCATGTATTTGGATTTACAACGGCCGCCTTTCAAAGTTGCATGAACTTATCAGGATGTGGATATGCAAATGTAACGTTTTTATTGCTCTTAAGTCGATGAATTGCTTCACATTTACATAAAACGACCCACTGAAAGGCCCCCACTCTCTCTAGGGTCGCTAGGGGACAACCCTCTCTCTCTCTAGAAAGCAAATGTACATACTTTTGGATTTTGCCTAAAGGATCGACAGGTGGTCCACAAGGACCACTTCATGTGTCGTACTTCTCCATTAATTTCGCACTTCAATATTAATTATATAATTATTTTGCTCCTGCTTTTACCTTAAAACTGAAACAGGTCGTTGGCCGACACCCGTATCACAATTTCGTGTGGTGTTTCTTTATGAATATCACTTCTCTTCTATTTCATTAAGCCATTGGTGTATTAATTAATGAAAAATTTTATATACGGTTGGGCCTCTAAACAATTAAATTAAGGCCCACATCAAATATTCATTAGAAATAAAAGAAGTTGTTTCAGTGCCCATAAACCCTCAAATCCGATCATCTCGTCCTTGAGATATATAGGTGCAAAAAACGGATTTTGAGTCTTGAAAATAGTGCATCTTGTAATGCATAACCTAGACCGTCAATTTTCAATATTTTCAAGTGTTCAAAAATCTGCTTGATCTATACTATTTTTAAAGTTTTAAATTTTATAATTAAAGATGGAAATAAATTTTCAGGCCATCATAAAAATTTTCGGTGTTGAAACAACATCTTTTTATACTATTTGAAGCTGCACCTTTCTCTGAGTGTTTGGGGCCTCCACCTTAAATAAAATCACACCCTATAGTTATAGATAAATATTGATTTTCAAGCCATCATAAAATTCCCGAACTACATCTCTAGAGAAAATTCAGAGTGCATCCTAGGTCTTCCTCATGTCCATTCAAATAGATAGTCTAGACGAGATGTTGAGATGGCAGTCAACATAGAGCATTTTTAGTTTTCAAAATCTTTTCCTTTTTCCGGAAATTAGAGAATGGATTTACTGCTTTTCTGGGTACTCTATTGCTCATCCAAAAATCATGGAGAAATAAGGTGTGGTTGTAACCCTAATACGTACAAATATATTAGTACAAAGTAGCTCATGTCTGGTTCCTTGAGAGGAATCTGGTAAACCTAGAAGGGAACCTGCAACATAGAACATAATGCCCCATGATTTTGTTATTCCATCCTTTTCTAAAATAAAAAGGTAATCGATATCGATATACTTCAGCATAATAGCATATCGAATATCGACGTACTTGAGCATAAAAGCAGCATGACTCTTGACTGCTTCCAATTGATGCTTTCTTTACTAGAAAATGCTCATTGAGTTCGATGATTCAAAAAGTGAAAATGGTATATATGTAAAAATATTTCCAAAAGTTTTCTCAAAATCCCTAGGGGCCGGATTGAAAAGACTGCAATCAAGAGTAAAGTTATTTTCTAATGAAATAATCATTCAACAAGTAAGTGAGGGATTTGGTCTGCTCCAGCCTACTTGTAAGCAAATGTTTCTCAACCCCACTTATTCGAAAATTTCTGCAATTTTCTCCCAAAGTCATTCAACGAAGAAAACTCGTTTTTGCTCTTGGTTGAAAGTACTCAGTAATACCACTTACAAGTAAGTGGTCCATCCAATCTTGGCTTTAGAGAAATTTTGGTTTGTCGAGGAAAAATTCAAGTTGTTGTGTTTGGTTAGTCACCAAGAGCAGCAATGTGCTGGGTAGGATCATAATGGGTAATATACATGCAAGTTACTGTGTGTTGAATTGAAACTGATTCTTCCACAACAGTTTAATTGGAAGCTCAAAAAATTCCCAACCAAGCTAGAAAGTGAATAAATCAGATATTAATCATTTTTGAGGAGTACAAGTAGAGGCAAGTAACTACTTGAACTTTGCCATCAATATCATCATACGCAGTATAACACTTTCTTTCCCAATACACTTACTGCACATTGGACTACTTACTGATCAGGCTGGATCTCCTTTGAGATCGGAGACTAGCCAATGATTTCAGAAATTTCTTGTATTTGCTAACCAACTACAATAATCTAATAGTACACTCCAAAGACTAATACATTTCAATGCAAATTACATGATAAACAATGTGTGGCTATGCTGAGGACATGGCTCTACATCTAGTTTTTTGACAGATAGAATATATCGCTTCTGTAATTTTATTATGATCCAATGCAGGCCTTCCATGAGGGAACATAATATTAGTGTATTAGCATAGATTAATTGAGAGAAAACTTTAGCAGGAGTCGTAACACTTATTTGCAGTTCTACATGACAAAATAATTGCAGAATTACTATCAACATTATGAATAGGGCAGGAAAATATATTCAGTAATTAAACTGTTACTGATTGCCCAAGATCAGCTAGAGGGGTGTTGTCAGTATACCTAGAACAGCTTTACCATTGCAAATGCCTCTGGGATGAAAGTAATTTGTTCCACTTCACAGATATTTTGCATTTCCATAGAGGGTTATTTGGTGTTCTTGAGTGGAGTTATTAGATTTACGTCATCTGATCTAACCTACACTTGTATACAGATACAACACAAGATTTGTTGAGGGATTGAGTTCGCACATTGACAATATCAAGCACCATCTGTTTTTATAGCATTAGGAGGAAGTAGAAAGCCAAAACAAGTTCTAAAAAGGAAGGAATATTTCATTCTCATTCTCAATCACAATCAGTGATATTAGAAAGAGAAGGGCGAGATACTGATTGACACCAGAAACTATAGAATAATAATTTAGTAAGCCAAAACTCCATTACAGGACAATTTAAACCTTGCTTAAATATACATAATACACTACAAACAAGTCCCATACCAAGACAAAGCCTGAATCCTTCCTCTGTTTCCTTTTCTTTTTTCACATCTGAAAACTATGGAACAATCTGAACTCAGAGACCTCAATTTTGCACTTCTGTTGGATTTGGGAATGTTGCTCTTTTCCTCCAATGCTGAAAATCCTAATAAATATAAAAAATTAAGAACCAGGTCACCATATTTGTCCATCAATTGAAAATTCCACTAAGAGAGAAAAGATGCCACAATTATTAATTCTTTATGGGGATATACAACAGCATATCCTTTTCCCCAGAAAGCAGAAACTAGCCCTTTAACTTTGAATGACGGAAATAATAGCCCCCATGAAAAATTTTAGAATTTCATATTATCTGACTTATAAAAAATGAAAAATCATGTAAGTCTTCTATTGACGTATCTGACAGCACTAGAGATGGAAAATCAGTAGTGTTCTGACTAAAACTATTAACTTTCTTGTTTTGTTTTCTAACAGTTTGATAAGGAAGAGCCTAATAGCTTGTCAAGTTTTGCTAACAAACATTCTACAATTAATGAGTGTTTCAAACATTGTGAATTTGACATCATAATCATTAATAGAAAAGACTCAGGCCTCATGATGATTTGTTCTTGTATATGGGCAAGTGCTAGAATGGCTATACTAAAATTTCACAAAGCAGCCTTCCGTAAAAGACAATACGCCCCCATCATTTTTGAAACTGATCATTATACCCCTGACTGTGACAGACATCAGAAGCAAATGTGGAACATTATTAAAAAGAAGTTCAAAGTATGCCAAAGTTACGATGAATATCTTCCGAATACAAAGTCATGTATCATTATTATATAAAACTTTTCAAAATATGCAATAAGAAAATTTCTATTTTTTATCAGAAGTTAAGATTGTAAGACTTCAGATTTTATCATGCTCAGGAGGAAAGTAACTTCAAGGTGCATTCTAGATTAGAAGTAGATTGTGGTGCACTCGTCATCTATCGAAAATGCAATAACAATCATTTCCCTTAAATAAACAGGGGAAGGTATACCACAATCAATGGACCATGGTGACCAAATTAATCAATTGGGATCATCTCCATCGTCCGGAAAGATGGACCGTAATGGAAAATGAGTGGGGCCATTATTGCCGCCATGTCCTTTCTTGGTGGGTCCTATTTTCTCTGCATCACCATTATCATTTCATTGGAGAGTGATGACCCCAAGGAACTGACTATGGTTTTTAATGATCTTTTGGACTGGAGTATACATTCCCTAGCAGAAATTACAGCATAAAATATAGCAATATTGAATACGACCACTAAGATCCAAGCATACCTCATTCCAAATGTTCCCAAACACTGTACCACCCTCCATATACTCTCTGTTTTATGTAGAAGCAATAGCCTGTGTTAAATCATTCATTTTAAGTCCTCTCCCCACACTGTTTTCTTCAATACAAAACCCCATTTTCTTCTTCCAAATCAGAACTTATTAGCAAGTATTTGCCTTGGACCGACTTAGGAAGATGATGGGCTCTTCTTGATTTCCATCACTCGGGTTTCATCATCAATAGGGCGGTGAGGAGAACGTCTTGGGCCGTTCATCTCAGGGGCAAAGGGTTGCGATGCCAAGTATTCAAGGGCAGTAACAATGTCACTGATAAGGGGGCGAGTGCTAGCCTGTTCCTGAAGGCACATGGCACAGATGGCAATGGCATGGTGGAGCCCACGCATAGGAAATTGCCCTTGTAAAAGGGGGTCAGCCATCTGAACAAACTTCCTTCGATCCTTGAACAGAGGGCGTGACTGTTACAAACACAAACAATAAATGAGATAAGAAAACAACCCATCATTCTCTTCTTTATATAAGATTACCATATACTAGAATTAGAATGCACTAGGAATTTAGACCATCAGTTCATCACTGCCCTCAATTGAGATGATAGACAGTGATCAAGAGAGCGTGAGACCCACCAGAACAGGAAATGGCCTCAATTGTTGTCCCACTTTCCATTCATCACCATCCATAATCAACCCCAATGGACTGTGGTTTTCCATTCCATTCTATTATTAGTAGGGAAAATATCCTATTATCCCCTATTTTTAACTTCTATATCTCATTAGACCCAAGAATTGAAAATATTACTTGTAAGCAAAAAGACTCCATCTTTTCTATCTTCCAACGCTTTAAACCCTTTTGACCATGTATTATTGGCCTCAACAACTTATGATATGACTCTATTTCTTACTCTCGCTAAAACTCCATCTCTCTCACATCATCGTCTCTCTCTCAAAACTCCATCTCGCACATCATCGTCTCTCTCTCAAAACTCCATCTCTCTCTCTCACATCATCCTCTCTCTCTCTCAAAATTCCATCTCCCTAAAACTCAAACTCTATCTCTCTCTAAAACTCCATCTCTCTAAAACCCGAAATCCATCTCTCTCCAAACTCCATCTCTCTCTCATGCATAAGAAGGTATGCTCGTGCTCGTGCTCGTGCTCAAGCTCAAGCTAAACCCCTTGGTTGGTAAACTCATCGAGAGACGAAGAGAGAAAGATGGAGTTTGAATAGAGTGTCATTTTAGTATTTGTTTGGGTAAAAAATTTATGGTCAAAGGGGTCCAGGGGGTTGTAAGATGGAAAAGATACAAACCTTTTGCTTATAAGTAATATTTTCAATTCTGAGGTCTCATGAGATATAGAAGTTAAAAATAGGGGATAGGGAGATATTTTCCCTTATTAGTATACTTGTATAAAATGCAGTAGTGCCTTTAATATATTTGTACAAAATGCAGTAGTGCCTTTAATATATTTGTACAAAATGCAGTAGTGCCTTTAATATATTTGTACAAAATGCAGTAGTGCCTTTGTATTCTATAGGACAAAATATCATTGATTTGACCTGAGCAATGTAGAAAAAATGAAAAACTTGAAAATTTATAAAGGAAAAAGATCGCAAGGTCCAGCCAGGCCACATAATTAGTCCTCCAAAAAACATAGTTAGGGGAAATACTTTTGATCTAAAAATTTCCAGATTAACATCGACTCACCTGAACAATTTCATAAAAAGAAAAATATTACCTTAGCCTCATAAAAACCTAGATCTCTCATCCCTCAGTTTGAAAATTCAGAATACATCTTTAATAGAAATTGATTTCAAGCAATTTTTAGATCTCTAGATCCTTTTTTCTTTTTTTGGGAACTGATTTCCGGTTCACCAAAGATTATATAAGAATTTTCAGGCGAGAGAAGTCCCATTGACTATGTTTTTGGAGGGCCCAAATGTGTATTAAGTGGTTGGGGCAACCACCTACCATGCACCCAGTTATAAATAGCTTCCAATTTTCATAAAACAAAAAACTCATACGAACTCTTCAGAAGTGACACAGTAAAACGCATAGGTTTTATAAATAAATAAATGAAAAATGGAACCCTAAACTATAAGGATGAAAACAATGGTTTAAAAAACAGATCAGTACCCCAGATCGGGCACCTCAAAAACCCATCCAGATCAGTGAATGGACGATCCGGATCAGGAATCGGCCGAATCGGTCGGATTAAGCCTTAAAACAAATCCAAAAAAATTCATTATAAATTTGTCTTTTAGGAATCCAATAAGAAATGGGGGTACTCCATTAAGAATTTTCATTTTTTTGCATGAATATGCGAATATTGGTATGTTCTTTCCCTGCATGAACTACTGTTTACCATTTAATTTACATCACAGAAAAGGATAAACATAGAATTATCATGGATTAAGTACATCATCATACATGGAGTACAATGAAGCATACAATTTGGTAAAAAATTTACAATAATATAGTCATTCATAATGCCACTATATGTACATTGGCAAAAAAAATATTTACAATGTTATAGTCATTCACAATGCCACAAATAATATTTACAATGATATATAGTGGGCACAATCCCAACTCAATTAAAATGATCACAAATAGTCGTACATCTCAATTACAAAACTGCAAGATAATATAATAAAAATGCAAGCTCCAAACATGCTTACAACTCAATTATCAAGAATATATATATAATTTATGTATCAACATGCATTTTTTTGCATTAAGAATTTACTAATAAAATTGAAAAATGAAAGATAATATAATAGTCATACATGCCACGATTTTTTTACAATGATATTCATACAGTTAATACCAAAAATATACATACATGCCACAAATAATATTTACAATGATATAGTCATTCAAGATAATATAATGATAAAATATTTAACAATCATATACAAACATTTTATGCATTCAAATTAAAAAATACATTTTTGCATTAAAAATTTAACAACATGTATTTTTTTGCATCAATAATCCATCAACATGCAATTTTTTGCACTAAAAATTTAATAATAAAAATTAAAAATAGAATTTAATTCCTCATGATAATCAAAACCTGATCACGATTTTCACAATTTTTCAAAAAATCACAATTTTTCAAAAAAAACGATCATAAAAAAAAAAAATTCAAAAAACGCAACCACAACTCCTCTTCATCCGAAATTGAGTAATAAAAATTCCTTAATCCGACAAATTACACCCAAAATTAATTGAATAACAGTATTACCTTCTAAAACCCTCTAAAATAATTCATAATAGTACTTTAATTCGTCTCATATTTGTAGTTTGGCCCAAAAAAAAACCCTAACTGTTCTTCACAAAACTGTGACTCAAAATCGAAAATCCACTACAAATCCACCAAAATCAACACAAAAGGTGTACAAATTCTGATGAATAACACAATCATGACTAATTTCCCTCTTATTTCATACAAAATAGTGATCTATTTCATCAGTAATTCAAAGAATAGCGGAAAAGACAAACGCAGAAAAAACACAGACCCAGCCTGACATCAGTCATTTGAACTCGAAAATCCACCTCAAATCGAACAAATTAGACCTAAGTGAATACATTTTATGATAAATAACACTATAAGGAATCAAAACCCTATAATATTAACGAATTATTTGCAAAAACTTGCATACAATCGATTGAATAGCGGAAAACTGAACTTCTTACCTGTTTTTCTACAACCGTGGCTTCAAATCCAAATCTGAGTTGTAATGGACCAAAGTACTCACAAGGTACGATTAATTTCTTCTAAACAACACTCTTAAGATCAATAACCCTCAGATTTTACAAAAAATGATGCCCTATTTTGCTTAACCTAAAAATGGCGGAAACCTAAAAAAAACGCGTTGTTCTTCACAAATCCGCCAATTTGTGATCGAAATTGAAGATTTCAACTCCAATTTATCGAATGAGAAGGCTGAAAAGCTACATAAAAAAGCTGAAATATTTGAATCACATACTGAAAAAGCACAACAACTATAAAAAAATGCCAAAATTTGATGTTTCCCATCGCAAAACACTGTTCACCCGTGTTTGAACAGTGATCGGGCGATTTACTGTTGGGAATCGCCCGGTTCTCTCTAAACACAGGCGATTCCCCGTGTTTCGCTGAACTGGCACGGGTGTGCCGATTCCCGCGTCGAACCGAGCAAGTCCGGTTCGACTCGCCAACTTTTTAAACACTGGATGAAAATAATGTATTCTATATTTGACTAAGTGGAATTTATTCTCACTAAGACATTTGAGGAGTTAGTCTAATAAAGGTGAGGACCATAAACTTTCCTTTACCCCATCCCAAGCCCAACAGGTAGACCTTAAAGGTGAGGACCTTAAACTTTCCCTTAACCCATCCCAAGCCCAGGAGGTAGACCTTAAAGGTGAGGACCTTAAACTTTCCCTTAACCCATCCCAAGCCAAGGTAAAGGAGGTAGGTTGCATTGGGTAGGCAACCACCATAAAACTTTGCAACATCTTATCACGAATCATGAATCTAAGTTATATGCACATAGACAAGAATAGAGGAATAGGATCATGTAACCACATCCTAAGTCTTAGCAAATATAAAAGTTAGTAGACTTCCAGATATCCCATTGTTTCATTCGTGAACCTCGAATCCTCAACTAAAAGAGAAGTACCTTTTCCAAAATTTACTATCCTCAACTAAAAGAGAAGTACCTTTTCCCAAATTTACTAGTGACCTATGGACATCTCAACCATCCCAAAAGGTTAAGGAACACTAAACAAAATAAGATTCATTAGAGATCAACAAGAACACAAAGTAGAAGGGAAAAGTTGTCAGGATAGGTTACCCAAGCCACTAGATTCTGTTCCCCTACAGGCCTGGAACAGTCTAAAACTTTCCTTCCAGTGATCAGCTCCAACAAAACTACACCAAAACTGTAAACATCAGACTTCAGAGTCACATGCCCAGTCATGGCATATTCTGGAGCACAATATCCATATGTACCCATCACCCTTGTTGAAACATGGGTATTGTCTCCAACAGGCCCCAGCTTTGCAAGCCCAAAATCAGAGAGCTTGGGGTCAAAATCATTGTCCAAGAGTATATTTGCGGATTTTAAATCTCGATAAATAACAGGTGGATTGGCTTTGTCATGTAAGTACTCGAGACCTCGAGCTGCACCCATTGCAATCTTCATCCTCGTATTCCACTGCAGTGGATCTTTCCCAGGAGGCAAATCTGAAAGTGCACCCAAGTGGTTAGAAAAAGAGAAATTTATGAAAATACCATGAGAGATGCACTACTTAGCATTTTACAATTTTGGAACTATTCCAACTCATCATGTGCTTTTTTGTGGGTATTTTGAAATTAAATCAAACAATACAGGTACAATGTTAAACAGTTCGGTTCACATGGGTATTTCGATAATTGTCCTGCTAGAAAAATACTGAATACATAACAAATTCCAACTAGGTTTCAGTTTTTCTATAAAAAGTGAAAATCCAAATGTAACCAATGATAGAAGGGAGGTATACAATACTCCATGGAATATGGGCTATGGTATATGGTACTCCAAGGCTATATCTGATTTCCACTCCCACAATAGTGGAAAATGGAGATTAACTGCACCCAGGTGAAATTCCCTGTGGGGGACCCAACCCAGTTAATCTCCAACCTGTCAATGGGAACAGACAGGGATGTAACCTTGAACTTCTGTGTACTATAATCCACAGGACTATGGTATCCTTGATCAACAACACAATATGTTCATAATCGGTGACCTTTGGAGTATACCTCAAACTAAGTGTTAGGTAGCAGTTTTTTCTTTCTCTGTGTATGCCTTGAACTAAACATCAGGTAGTAGTGTCTTCTTCTGAGTGAATGGGATTGGTACTCACAGTTTGCTAGAGAAAAACATAAAATAAACAGAGAAAAGTAAAGTACATATGTTAACAACGTGGTTAGCCTCTCCATAAAGAGAGAGACCCTTCTACACAACATCCTTCTACACGAATTAGAAAGAACAGTCCAAATGCCAAAATTAATTTCGCATGAAGTACCATGTAATTCAACGCTTCATACAGGTTCTAAATTATTTTATAATTTCAATTTTATTATAAGGTACTTTAAGTTCCTTAAGAGATTCCACATTGTTGGCATCAAAGTATTTCGTAAGAGTTATTGTAAGATTAAGAGTTTTCGGAAAAATCAACACAACAAACGAATTCATAACAGTTAATACCCAATCGACCTTCTAACAGATGGACAGCTAGAAATGGTGATTGGGCAAGGCAACGATTTTTGGTCACTCCTAAGAGGATAGAGTAGCTGTGATCTAATGGACCATGGAAAAGCCATAGTTAAGCGGAACTTCACCGTCTATTGAAAATTTGAAATGGACAGTGATGGAGGGTGGAACCTAGCATTGGCATCATGTCATGTTCTAGGGGTCAATCTTCATCAGCATCATTCATTTCAATGGCTGCCAATGACCTAATGAACTATGGTTCTTCAATTTTCCAGTGGGTTATAGTCTTATTTTTATTCTTTTAAAAAAATTATTCTATTATTTTTTATTTCAAAAAATACCAAAAGCCCAATTCCAAATGTGATTCAATCCCTTACTTTGTGGTTCTTCACCAAGACAAAACCCAGCAGACCAGATTTACACCACACATTCTATTAAATGATATCGCAATGAATACCTATGTTTTAATTGTTTCACCTTAGTTTCAAACTTTCAGTCCTTACACATTCCAAAATAAATTTCAGTTTTTAGGCTAACAAATTAAACTCTGACTGAAGTTACTGTGACAATTGGTGTTACCAGAATAAAGAGCGACTGACTGAACAGATGCTCACTTCTCCAAAAAAAACTTACCAAATAGATGATCACCCAAATTTCCCATTGGCATGAACTCATAAACCAGGAGTCGTTGATCCCCATCAGCACAGAATCCAATCAAGTTGACAAGGTTGGGATGGTGCAAAAGACTCAACATAAGAACCTCCACTATAAATTCTCGGTTACCCTGACATCCATCTCGATTGAGCTGTTTAATGGCTACAACCTGCTATCAAACAAATAACTCATCGCTTTAACAAATACCCCAATACCAATCAACAATTGACCACTTTCATTAGCGCTAAAAGGGAAAAGGTAGGGCTATTGTAATTCTCATTTTCTAATAAAATTATCATTCATTAGAGAACAGGAAATTCAGGTGCAAGCTATTGGTTCAATTGTGAGGCATTTGAGGTCACAACCTGAGGTCTGAGTTTAAAACTAGCTAAACCTCAAAAGTTTGAAGAAGAATAAAAGAAGGATACGCTATTTTATATCTGAATTCCTCAACAACAATGTTAGAAAAATCGCAGAGCTGACTAAAACCTCACCCAAGTCAGCTCGGATCTGGCCCTGGAGAGTCCGGAAGTAACTCCAGGCCTCAGTCCGAGTCTCAACCTAAACCCTATATTCTGTTAAAAAATCATAGCTCTGAATCAGGACATTCCTGAGTAACAGAGTGACTTAGGCTCAGGACCCAGCGAGTCCGTCCGAGTATGTGGTTTTGAGCACAGTTCAACACTAATATGCTCAGCTACACAATCAAGAAAACTTGGAATCTACTTAGTCTAAATGAAATTATCATTTCATGGACCCAGTGTGAGCAACTTGCCTGGCCGGAGCTCTCCAAGCGTCCTTTGAAAACCTTGCCAAACCCCCCTTCTCCGATTAGGTTAGCAGGTCTAAAATTTCTAGTGGCAGTTGCGAGATCTCGAAAGGTGAAACTTTGAGCCGCGCTCTTAGTTGCAACACGCCCAATTCTTGATCCATCATTCTTCGAATTCTTCAATCTCTCATCATTGGAGTCCCGATCCCGACTATTCCTATCTAAAGAGGCCCTCCCCTTGCTGGAAACTATAAAAACCCAAAAACAAAATGAGTAAAAAGTAGAGGTTAAAATGGCGATCTAAATAAGAATGGGGCAAAGTTATTAGAAGAAATGGAGAACAGAGAGAGAGCAGAAGCTGCAGAACAGCTGCTCCAAAAAGCTAAAGAAAATAAGATAATATTTGAAGGAGAGAGAGAGATGATACACGAAATCAAGAGGATGGGAACTACCCACCTGAAGATTCCAAGGAAAGACGATTGTTTGATTTGAAAACTGCACTGTCTTCTATCTTGTTCGCATCCTTGCGGCGAGGACTGATGCAAGGAAAACAGCTCATGCCTAAAAGCTAAGAACCAGATACCAAAAGATGGGTAGAACAAGTCCGATGAAGGAACAAAAGAAGATAGTGACCAACCCGTAAACAAATTCAAGCCAGATTCCAAGTTCAATTCTCTAAATTTTCACATGGTCCTTCCTCCACTTCGACACAGAGAAGACCAGATTAATTTCTATATCCAAGGTCACTGCCTCTCCTTATCTCAACCAAGAAAAGCCCAATTTTGAAGTATAATCCTATAAATTTCTCTCACTACTCAAGCTCAAAACACTGCTCCAAACTCGATTTTTGCGGATACCATGCAGCAAACAGTTCTCATAGGAAAGCCCAAATCCTTTGTCCTCTCAATTCAAGCCAGAAATTACAATCAAACAAACTTAAGCCACAATTTGCAACCAAAGGCAAGACGAAACCAGATTTTGGTACCACTTCTCCCCCATTTCCTCACAAAATAAGCTTCAGTCGCCGACTAATCCGAAGTGGGCCCATGGTCTCTTCCTATTCTCTCTCTACAATGCTCTTACAATAAAGAGAATTCTCTTTTTCTCTCTCCCCAACAGAAAACAAACAACTATAAGGAAAATCAGAAACAGTTTCACATCAACATTTCTGATCAATTTCAACACCAAAGTCCAACCCAGATCAGAAAACCATCTGAAATTTTACAAAGTGACCTAAATTTGAAGAAATAGAAATAAACGAATAAAAGAGACGTACCCATAAAAAGAATGTACAGAATCAAAAGCGCGTAATTGCAAGCCGGATTATACGCTGTACACCCCCAAAAATGAAACCCCACTAAAACCACCTCCAAATATATCCAAAATTCTTTCTCAAAATGTGGCCGAAACCACCGCTAAATCCCCCCCAAAACAGAGAAAGAAACAAAACCCACCTCTGAGAAAAGCCTTAATTATACAGTGAACCAGTCAAAACCCCTCCACCATTTTAGCTCTCTTAAAAAAGGCAAAAAAGAAGGAGAAAAATGATACCACTTGCTCGAAACCGAAGGAAAGGAGGCGTTTCTTTTTCTTTTTGGTTTCTGGTTTTTCCAGTTTTGATAAAAGGGGAGCTTTGTAACAGCTGGGTCACTGCGAATTTGTCGGTGTTAATGCGCACCTTCAATGATGGACCCTCTTCCTTTCCCCACCATTAGAGACTGCCCTTTTCGAGCCCCCCTATAACAGCGACTGATCCACAAGTAAAACGTTCTCTAGAAAGCCCGCCCCCTCTCTCTCTCTCTCTCTTGTTGTAGTCATCTGTTGATATTCTATAAGGGCGTTTTGCGTGAGAGGTTTAATAGAAGATGGAGTGTGGGGCTGTCCCGCCATGATTGCAGGGAGGAGGTCCATGATTATTGCAGGTGTCGCTCTCCATTTGTTATCCTGTCTCTCTCTCTCTCTCTGCTTTCTCTCTCTTAAGATTAAACTTCCTCCACCTTCTCTCACTCTACTTTCTCTCTCTAATCTCCTCCATCCTTCTCTCTCTAATCTCCTCCATCCTTCTCTCTCTAATCTCCTCCATCCTTCTCTCACTCTACTTTCTCACTCTAAACTTCTTCCTCCTTCTCTCACTCTACTTTCTCTCTCTAAGCTCCTCCACCTTCTCGCACTCTACTTTCTCTCTCTAAGCTCCTCCACCTTCTCTCACTCAACTCTCTCTCTAAACTCCTTCACCTTCTCTCACTCAATTCTCTCTAAAATCCACCTCCTCTCACTCTACTTTCTCTCTCTAAAATCCTTCACCTCCTCTCACTCTACTCTCTCTCTCTAAAATCCTTCACCTTCTCTCACTCTACTTTCTCTCTCTAAACTCCTTCACCTCCTCACTCTACTTGTCTCTACTAAACTCTCTACTCTCTCACTCTACTTCTCTCTACTAACTCTCACTCTCTCTACTACTACTTCTCTCTACTAACTCTCTACTCTCT